AATACACGCTGAAGCAATGTGAAGAAAGAGCATGTGTGATTTACAATGACTCTGCATAGACTGAAACATCCAGCTCCTGCTCTAGGCTCTTATTTCTGTTTAGAAGATTGAGTCTTTTTTATCCTCACATTGTTTTTGCCATTTAAATCTCACAGACTAACCTATAATGCAAACTAAGTATCATAAATCTTATTGCATAACAATACTCTCAACTTCAACTTGACCCCAATCTAAACAGTAACCCTAATGAAAATGTATCATTGCTCCACAGAATCCATTAAAATACCAACTAGTATTTTCACACTATAGTATCCACATGGAAAACCACGGATGGCTATACCTTCAAGATAACTATTGCTATGAAACAAACTATGGTATTTGTTATGAAAACTCCACATACATTACATATTCACATAATGGGTACTTGCCTCATTCTCTTTACTCTTGTCTTTATTCCGGCTGGAGCTGTTGCCATTCTCCTTAGTGATGGGTACAACTGATATCTGATGCACAGGCATGCTAGCAGTGCTCGGGACTGCGGGATACCTCACTACCTTCAGCCCACCAAAGACAACCGACTCACATCATCCTGTGGGTCGGCATGGAAACAAAGAATATGACCCGCTCCAGAGCTCGTATCCACGCTCCGACAGATACATGCATGAAATCAGGTATCCTGGTTGAGATCTCAGACTTCAGCTGCAACAGAGGGAAACATCCAGAGAGTCACATCCCAAAAAAAGCTTCAGCCAATCTCTCTTGTTTTACCTGTGATCTCTGTGACAGGGAGAGAGAGACAGACAGAAAAGCTAATTTAAATTGTACTCTACCTGAGAGCTGCAGTGATGCCTCAGTTTGAGAACGTGCGTGTGTGTGTGTGTGCGTCTGTTAACTTGACCTGTAAACATGCTGCTGAGAGGACTTAGGGGTTATTTTAGCTCCAAATCTCCTCCCTCCAGGACTAGCGTGGGATGGAGCAGCAAGCTAATCAGCTTACAACCCCAGAGGCTTCACACAACCTCGGCTACTGTAACACACAAACACACGCTCACACGAACATGGGAAGACACATTGGACCGTGCAAACTAGCTGGTAACATTTGAACTGTTAAATGTTTCATTTAAAACAAACTGTCGAGGAGAGCGTATATAGACTTATTATATGCTGCATAACTAAATTATACTGGAAGTACTAGTATATGAAACAGACAACCAATAATAAATGGATTTGTCCTCAGCCTCGTTAAATATTCATGAGCTGCAGAAACTCGTCATTTTGGGCTTTTACTTAAAATGTTCTACATTTTAGAATTTAGAAGTTATTATTCGTAGGTAGCTATGGGAATTGTGTAGAGGTCAAAACAATTTTAAAAGACCAAAAAGACTTTAAAGAGTAACTAAACACTAAACCAACTTTTTTTAGTTAATGATCTGTAACAATGGATCTTTATTAAAACCAGTCATTGATTTGAGTAAATTTTTTGACATTTGTTTATAAAGTGTTTTATTTCTACAATATATGGTGTAAAAGCGTCTTAGTGCTTCAGGTTGAACGGTGGCTACTGCAGTTGAATTTTCCTATTGGCTGTTCGGCACTTCGTGACGTACCCAGGTTTCAGCTCACCACGCGAGCTACGCCCTTGGCAGTATAAAAACCATCTTGTGTAGTCAAAACCACTATAGGGAGTCAGGAATTGGAATTGTGAGTATTGAAAACGATCAGGATAGATAGAGTGTTTTAGCATCTATTTCGTCCCCTCTATCTCCGCTGGGGTCTGCCCACTTTTCCAGTAGCACTTCAATGCAGAACATGAGATCCATGGGGAGGAGTCGGATCACAATCCAAGGGGTGGAGATGGGTAGGATTAGGGTTGGGTTTAGGGGTGGATTTAGGGATCAGGGGGCGGAGTTGGTTAGGTTTAGGTGTATGTAAGGTGGGAGGAGTTGGATTTAGGGGTTTAGTTACCCTTTAAGCATTTTACGTAAGCAAATGAGAATATCTTTGTTTTACAAATGTACAATGTGAAATTACCGGACTATGACTGATCAGTACCAATCCAAAGCACACACAGTGAAACACAAACAAATAACCCATGAATATGCTAACACATGGTAAAAAAAAAAAATTGACCAAATTTTCAAGCTCAAAAGCCCATGTGAATAATTGAACCTGGTTATAAAATTATTAGTACACTACACTACTCAAATTCAGAAGACGTAATGCTGTGAGATACTTTATTAAATAACACCACTTATAGAGAACCTTATTTCGGAAAAATATTGAATGGTAGTCAATGGCGAGAGACAACAAATATTTTGATCTCGTTTGAATTGTGCCCTGAATTACACATTTGATGTTTGTCAATTTAAAAGATACATTTTAAAGTAAAGAAAGTCGCAGTTTGATGTAAAACCATTGAGGTATAAGACTGTGAAAATACGTAATTACAAAGACTACAAACCCCAAAGGCGCACATTTTCTCTCAATGAATGAAGCTAACTTTACTAAGGCTGTCTGTCATTGTTTCTACAGTCTTACGTTATAATCGTAACGTTACGCCGTCCTACCTGAGTGTTTTGTACCAGACTGCACACACACGAGCAGCGGATCTCGTTTCGCTTCCCGGGAGATGTAGTTCATAGAGCGATTTTCACATAAAACTAAATGTTACTCTTCTGTTGTATGACAAACTGTGACGTTTTTGACTTTCAGAATTATCTTTTAAATTGACAAACATCATATGTGTAATTGAGGTCACAGTTCAGACGGAATAAAAAGATAATTTGTCTCTCGCCATTGACTACCATTCATATTTTTTCCGAAATAAGGTCCCATGAGCCGGAAGCGGAGGGGCGGGACTTTGGCTCTCTATTTGAATTATATTAGAGTGAAGAAGTATCTTTCTCTTCAAGCCCTCAAGGTTGTTCGCTTATGTCTGATTTTGATTGATTTGTTACACTGAATGACCTCAGGAGGCCAATAAAAACAAGTTTCATCCATATTGGTTCCCCTTTAAATCAGTAGGCTATTCAATTTTACTTCAGTAGGCTGTTTTCCCTCAAAACCGGTAGTATAGCAAGCTTATAACAAGTAAGACTTATTGTTATATGCTTGACATGACATAGCTGTCAAACTTTCATTGTGTTTGGTTTACATCCCGTTTCCTTTGTCCTTAGTTTCCCGCCACCATTAGTTTCCATATTTATTCAATTAGTTCACCTGTTTGTATTCAGATTGTTATCATGTGTGCATTAATACCCTTCAGTTCCTTTTGTTCACTTGTCTGGTGTTGACTGAGTTTTAGTACTCATTGCTGTTTTGCTTTATCGTGCCGGGATTTCTGCTTTCATTTATTTTGATTAAAGTAGTACCTTTTTTGTACTGACTTTGCACGCCTACAAAAGAGGTGTGCAGATGTAAAATGTATTATACTGTAACATTATAACACAGTCTCATCCCAAGACATCATATAACTGACGTCTTGGGACGTCTTTCGACCATACGTCAACATCCGCCATTTTAGGGTACCCTTTAACGTCGGCTAGATGACGTTATCGGATCCTAACCCTACCCCAGACCTAAACCTACCCCGTCACCTAACTGACGTTAAAGGTAAAGCGTCAGTTGTATTACGTCATGTAACTGACGTTAAAGGGTACCCTAAAACGGCGGATGTTGACGTATGGTCGAAAGACGTCCCAAGACGTCAGTTATATGATGTCTTGGGATGAGACTGTGTTATAATGTTACAGTATAATACATTTTATATCTGCACACCTCTTTTGTAGGCGTCCAAAGTCAGTACAAAAAAGGTACTACTTTAATCAAAATAAATGAACTTTTGACGTTTGACGTTGACGTTTGATCAAAATACGTCCCAAGGCGTCAGTTATATGACACAGTACTTTGATCGTCGCCTTTGTAAAAATATAAAGAATAACATAAATGTGTTAAAAAGAGTTACTGTAAACGACACTCGCACAGCCCTATTTAATGTCGAATACACATGCACTGACTGTTTGGTGAGATAAAAAAAGGAAAAATGAAAGACAAAAAAACATGAAATAATCCATTAAAGTCTATGTTTTATTCAAAAGGAGTCAATGGCATGTGAATTATGTGAAAGAGATAATCATTTTATTATTTATTGAAAAACATTGGTTTTGGACATACACAATTTTATCAATTTTATCTCTAATTGTTTAGTTTTTTGTACAACATACTTATTATTAATACAGGCCTATAATAATATCCTGAAAAAAGAGAAGCCAGATCCATTCACAGACTAATAAGTTCTAAATAAAAAAGCTTTCTCCTGGCAACTCAGAAGAGTCAAGCTCTTCAGGTTCAATTGAAAGTTACACCGGGACTCTTAATCACTTATCGGGCATCTGAAAGTATTTACCACCACAAAAGCTCATGTGTAAAACAAGAAAAGACCCCAAATACTTCAAAAAATGTAATAAATATTTGATAAATAACCAAGATTAGAGTGAGATAAGATTTGGAACATGCATACACCGCAATCATTTATGAAAACTGGGGATTGGTTGGCACATGAAGACTAGCAGCATACTGACCAACAACATATTTTGTATTCTCACCAAGGAAATATTTGTTTGGTCAAAAAGTATATTTATGGGAGACGAGACTTGACATTGTTTGTACAGCAGAACAATATAAGAAGGTAATGTTTGGTTTTGTTAAATTATACATGCTCCATTAAATAAAGTGAATGCTGAATTACTAGTCTAAATAGAACAAAGGCCAATAAAGACAAGGTTGCAATACACATTCATTCATTCATTCATTCATCCAAAATATGAACTGGCATCCAAACACACAGGCACAACAGGACAGTAGGATGGGATTCCATGACATCTAGGGTAGAACCGTAGTTAGTTAATCTCACCATGCAATATGAGCCAATCATTGTGGTTCCCCCTCATCATATTACAGTACCGACAGTATACAAACAGGCGCACACGCACAACCTAATAAAAAAACGTTGTACAGAGACTTCAAAGTGGATGCCTTTATGGGCGGCAGTCCATGTAAGTAAGGAGTTTTATAACTAAATATGTGTGTTTTGCATCCCTGGTCATGTGTTGTCGCATTTGTACGCTCAAGTGCTGGAGCGTTTTGATTGTAGTGTTGTTAATTTAGATTTGTGCACTTTGAGCTCAGATGAACATGGAGTTATTTTGTATAGTATTTCTGCCACAGTGGTGCTGAGGTATCAGTGATGCCCTGATTATGAGTGAGTTTGTGTTTGCTCGTTCAGCTGGAGCAGATGGCCTCTCCCTTCACTGAGATGGAGTTTTACACTATTCTCTTCTCTCTGGTAGTGTTCAGTCTCTTTACCCTGCATGGCCTAATACAAGAGAGATGTGTGCACACTACAGGTATGACCAACACACATTAACAATGCTTATACATATGGTTCATTAATCCTAATGTGGTGTTATAAAAACTGGGTACAAGTTTTGTGTTGTGGGTCAAACAGACCTGCATTGGTTTCCATGCAATTTGCCAAAAACAGACTAACAGAAGACAGAACGCCTCTATTGTAGCTTGTCAGACACTAAAAATATCAAATATGCGAGGAATTTATTAATTCCCATCTATTTGTTTATATTGTGTTATTCACATTGTGTTGGGTGTTATATTTTTGTTCAAAATTAGCAGCACAGACAAAACGACAAAACGGTAACACTTTATATTACGACCCATAACAACTGTGTAAGTAAACCATTGGAAAAAAAAAACAGTGTACTTTTACATAATTACAGTGTACTTCCATGTAGGTATAAGGGAACAATGTTAAGTTTTGGGTAATAAAGGGGTAATAAACAAAGCAGATATACAACCTGCAAAGACCTTCGTAAGTAAACCGAAATTACGGTGTACGTTTCTGTACCTCTATGTATAAGGGAACAATATGTTAAATTTTGGGTAATAAAGTGGTGCAACCAAATAAAACATTTTTGGTTTAACGTAGTTTAGGAAGAAAAGCCAATAAATTCATTTTTATCATACTATACTTACATACAGCATATATATATGCTGTATGAAACACAATAGGTACCTGTTAGTTTTAAAATAATTACATTATAAATAATTTGTTTGTATATCTGGTTGTACCCCTTTATTACCCAAAACTTAACATATTGATATTGTTCCCTTAAACCTACACGGAAGTACACTATAATTACGTAAACGTACACTGTAATTTCGGTTTACTTACGAAGTTCTTTGGAGGTTTTAGCCTATATCTGTGTTTGTTACCCCTTTATTACCTAAAGCTTAACATATTGTTCCCTTATACCTACAGGGAAGACTATAATTATACGTAAACGTACACTGTAATTTCGGTTTACTTACGCAGGTGTTTGCGGGTCGTAATATAAAGCGTTACCGACAAAACAATATTTTTTTTGTCACAAATACTTGTAGTGACAATTTGCACAAGATAGTACTAAGTATATATTTATACACCAAGTATAAATAGTATCTAGCATTATTTGTACGTTTGTGTAATATTTATTGCTGTATACTTAAAATAACCCATTAATAGCCTCTGCCTTATTGTTATCTCTCAAACCCTTGTTCGAGTAAATGGGTTTAAATCAAAATGGGTCAAAAATCTAAATTTGTACAGCTTTTCTAAACAAATCTATTTGTCCAAACTTTGCTTGAACATTCATGACCCTAAATTTTTAGTTTAACCAGTTTTTAAACCATTTAGGGGAAAAAAATGCGGGTCAAGCTGATTCCCAACACAACAGGAATAGTTCACCGGAAAAAGAAAGTGTTTCATTCTGTATTGAGAACTTGGGCTGGGGTTCAAACATTGTCCATATGACTTGAGTACTAGCCATGTCACACAATAGACTCGTTTGGTTTCTAGGGTTTGGTTGCCATTGGAGGAGAAGATTGACAGTGAACATTTATCATTAAATAACTAATACCTCTGTTAATCACAAAAAGTTATAGACCCAAAACTGATTTGAAATATGACTAGTCAAATGGATAATTTTTTATGATGGTGTGCTTTACTTTTTGAAGTTTAAAAGCTTAAAATGTATTCTTTTTAAAAATACATATGGTACAGCCGGCTGAGTAAAATATGACTATGATTGAATATAACCTAAATATTCAATATTCTAATATTCAATAGTCCTGTTTGGTTTTTGTGTAGGCCTATGCAGAAATAAAAACATCTATATCCTTCATTCTGTTTGATGTTAACTGTCATTGTATATTTTTATACACATTTCTCTAGTGTAATGCAGCTCACTCACTGTCACTGATCCATGATGTAAAACTCCAGATGAGTTTTTCTTGTGTACATCCATTTTTTTTTAATGCGTCTTCTTGACTATCATACAGTCTACCGACGTTCTGATATCACATAGAGGTTCCCACTCGCTGGCTTACAGCGAAGTTCGTACAGTCTGACGAGCACGAGCAACAATCATAAAGTACTTTTATAAATCATACAGTGTGTGCCCGGCTTAAGACTCTGAGTGATTACTTCAACCGCTAATGCAATGTCGTTCCCTCCTCTCGGCGAACCAGGGTTACATGAGTAGCCATCTAACCGAAGCCGAAGACATTCCCTTTTGAGTTTGGTTCACTCGACTGTCAAAATGGCTGAAAAACGAAATTTGCATTTTATATTTAAACACTAATTTTCATGATTGTAATAGCCTATGATCTGTCTTGATTTCTTCAAGCAGTCGTATTTACCATATTTACTATAGTAATGTTTAGGGCACATAGTCTTTTGCATCGCATATAAATATTTCTACCTTATAAGGTGATCAGAATCCACATCGGATCACGAGCAGAAGTTATTTCAAACACTCGCTGCTGTCTGAAAGTGAGTTTTGAGCTAAAATGATTTTAAAAGTCTTTAATGCTGGTGATAGCTATAAAATCATCCGATGCTGCCTTCTCTAGACTCAGGTAAACTTCACCTTTGTTCATGACCACTCCTCAAGCCTGAGCTGACCCGCTTTGGACCAAGGTATTTGGCGGGCCAAAAAACACCGACGAGGCCCAATCAAGCACCTGAAGTGATAGTGTAAACGTGACTGGCCCTGGCACGAACTAGCATGCCCACTTTTAGCCCAACAAGAGGAAACGTGGCTAATTCATATACATAGTGCTCGAATTGGGCAAAGAGAGAGTGCAAGTCAGCTGACTGAGGTGGCTCAAAGGGGGAACCCACCAGAGCTCTCAATACCAGGTCGGTACAGTGGGTGGTCGAGGGGGATTCTATATACTTCAGGAAGCATATAACCAAAATACATTTACACTGCACCAGGTTGTGAAGACCTTCCATTTACTCACATAGAGACATCATTTGGAAGGGGCTCTCGCCTCCGATATGGCAAAAAGCACATTCTCCGTCGTCCTGAGGGGCCAGACATGAATATCTATACAAGGACAGTCAAATTGGGATGCCAAATTGCCTGGATTGGTCAGGGGGGACCAGTCAGCAGTTCTACCATGTTCAAGAACCATGGCTGGTAGGCCACCTCGGCGACTCCCAATTCTTGTTCCTCCCTGATTTTGCTCACTACCAGATGCATTATCTTTAGTCATGGGAAGGCATACTTGCGGATTTTCTGGCTAGCGATGGGCAAGCACATCCACCCCTAGGGCCTGCATGTGTCAGCGCACAGAACAGCAGGTAATGCGCAATCTCTGCTGAGGTAAAGAGGTCCACCTCCATTCTCTGTGGACTACTCTGTCCTCGATAGCAAGTCTAAGCCCTGGTTTAATCGGCCGGGGACATGTACTGGATCAGCAAGACATGTACCCGGATCGGCAAGAGGACGGAACAATAACAGGAGGCTCTACGCAAACCTCAGCGGTCTGGACTGGACACCACCCTAGTGGTTTATGTATGAAACCACTATGGGAATTAGCCCACTTTTCTGTTTATTCACTGTCAGCCAGGGACAACAAGTATGATAGAAGCTCACATTTGTGTTCCTGTAACACATTCTCTGACTGTGCCATGGCAAGCCAGTCATCTAAATAATTCAGGATGCACATACTTCAGTTTTAAGACAAATGTCTACTGAGACGAATGCCACAGTATGCCACAGAATGACACAGATTGGTATTCCTTACTCAAAATATTAAAATGTAAAAGAGTTACACAAACTTGTTAGGCTTTAAATAAATATATGTGTGTGTGTGTGTGTGTGTGTGTGTGTGTGTGTGTGTGTGTGTGTACAGAGTTAATGCAATGAGGTTGTTTTATTTTTGAATGAAAATGCGACAATATGTATTATTTCTTTTATTTTACAGTTAAATTATTAAGTAATCAGAGACATCTTAAATGTTGCATAAGCACTATGTTTCTATGCACTGCCTACCTTGGGTTGAGTTGTTTCATTTTTGAATGAAAATAAGGCAATATTTGATGACAATATTTATTTTACAGTTAAATTATTATTTTTGTATAGAAGGATTTTTTTTAAATGTCGCAAAAGCACTTTGTTCCTATATATTGAATGCTGCAAAATGTGCATTTTTTTATTTAGAATTCAGAATTGATTCAGAATGACTCAGCATTTTCTCCTGCTGTTTGACGCGCATGCGCGCCCACTTGCGCTCGTTCATTGAAGTCTGCGAAGTTTGTTGTCAGAACATGCAAAACTGAAATACTCGCGGGACTTTCGAACATTTACAAATAAAGATATAAGCATAAAATGTAAGTTATTTGCTGAGGAAAACACGTGCCAGAAGCATTAAAAGCACACGCATGATGTAAAAGGCCGACATGGCGTAGCCTAGCGCTGTCATTGAAGCGCTAATAAATATAAACCATTGTCATGTTTCGGAAAACTTGGATCATATGTACTTAACCTTTCCGGTAGCAGCCCAAAAATCTGTGTCTTCCCCAAATTTCCATGCATTTTTGTCCATTGAAATGGGTAATTCACTGTCGACGCGACTGCTGATGGTTTCCGAGCACTGCGCGCAGATCACATGTTCAGGATTTTTTCCAGCTTCACATGCAGCAATTATTCCTTCGCAAATATTGCATTATGGTTGATAATCTAGCAGTGTTATTTTTCTAGTCATATTTCAAGACATATTTTCATTTGTCAAGACTAATTTTCTTAACTTTATTTTTCTTTACTTACACGCCACGCCCCGATTCCGTTTAATTTTTTGATATAGCCTATTGCAGGAGGCCTAACGTTATTTGCCTTTAGCATAAAAATTGCACATGACCAACAAAAACGGGTTCAACTAGTTTCAAATATGACGTGGCTTTCTGGTTTGTTCTCTTATAATAAGGCAGTGAAGACATCAAAGAAAGACTTGAGGAGCCACTCATCGTTTAAATCCACCTGCAGACCAATCTAGACTGATTTCATGCAACATGGTCAATCCAGGATCAGATGTGATGAGTGGTGCTGTACACATAACTTGCCCAGTATGCTGCTTTCTTTATTGCGCTTGAAACCTCATCACCTGGACGGGATCCGGCTCCTAACTCAGGTAAACAATAAAGACAGCAAGTGCACGTCTGTAGGTATATACCTTAAGTATGAGTGGGTTTAACGTTGACACGGTTTATAGCCAGCAGTAAGGAAGCAGGAAGAAGTGGACTTTGATTGCTCTGTGTGAGAAGCTTGTAAAAGTCTCTAACACACAAGCATGTTTCATACTGTGGGTGCTTGTGGTATAAATGGAATGAGGTTTGATGGGTTGCATCCTGTTGAAAGCAAGCAAAACAAGGTATTTAAATCCATTTTCTCCCTCTACACACATGTAAGGCCCTATTAAAGAAAATGCTGACTTCAGAAGAGTACATTTTATGCAGTAACTAATTAAAAGTCTATGAAATAGACGTTTTTTGATGATGACACCATTTTTATTAGTGATATCATTGAGATACTGTGACAGATAATATTTTTAATTAGCTTTTAGTTTTCTATTTTCAATTTTAATTTTATTTAGTTTGAGTACTTTTCAAATGTGTATTAGTTTTGTTTTTTAAAATATAGCCTATATTTTTTCAGCTTTAGTTATTTTATTTCAGTTTTAAGTTAACTAAATGAAAATGATGCCTTTGCAACTAGATGAAATAAAATAAATAGATTTTATTTTATATTATCGTAAGGTGTAAGTAATTAATTAATAATAATTCGTTACATTTATAACACTTTGAAAATGTTCGACTTGATTTAAAAATGTTTTAGTTAATAACCATGGATAACACTGTCATTTATTTATGTTTCATATCAAATAGTTATGATCTTCATGTAATAGGCTATTTTTACCAAATTTGGAAATTTTACTAATCATGGCCCTGCAACATTAAAAACCATTATCTCTTTGCATTAATTTGTATTTTTAGCTCTATCTTTTATGGCTCTTCTACAGTCTTTTGCCTTATTCATCAACACAACTGCACATCTAAATTTAGTTTATTGATTCTGAGTACTTGCAACTTGTTAATGGATTTTCCCTGTTCAATCAATCTTGCATTTAAGTCTTAAGGGCACTCCATATCGCAGCTGCATACGTTTTTCACACTTATTGTTTTTCTACATTTACTTTTAAAACCTTTTTGAGATAAAGAACTGCTTAATGCTCTGTAATCATATTTTATAATGCCTTTGTCTCTCTCTTTCTCTGTGTGTAAGGGTGGAAGTGTGTGTGTATGTGTGTGTGTGTGTTATGGATCTTCTATTTTCAGGGTTTGAGTTGGTCTTCATCATCATTGCTTTTACTGTCATGTGCTTATTTGGCCTGGCTGCAGTCTACACACATAATACAGACGATCAAGGTAAACACTTTATTTATCCACTCACCCATACACACAAAAAATGACTAAACGAAAAAGTCACCTAAATCTATACGTGTGTCCCATAGATGACCACACTCCGACAGAACAGAGGATAACACAACAAAAGAACAAATCAAAGAAAAAACGAAATGTAACCAAAGTCAATCAAGAGATACCATGAACACACTTCATAGACCTACAGAATCTCTCTGTTGGTACTCATTGGATAAACGGCCTGGCTCACCAAATGCAGTTAATTAGCAGACAAACTGTGTCTGAAGATCTCTGTGACTGAAAATAGACTTCAATTCACCCTCAAGATGCGATTTCTCTCAGCTGTTTCTGATTGGCTTGAATGTATGACCCCAGTAAGTAATTAACCAGTAAAGAGGATTTATTGAAATCGAAACCCCACCCCTTTCCCAACCTAAAACTGCTTAACATTTGTAATTCTTTTCTGGTGGAGCCTTTTTTGTTTCTTTCACTTTATGCATTTTGGGCAAATTGCATCTAAAATCTCTGGGTGGACTTAGCTTATGACTGTTAAAATATAGGAAAATATATCGCTGGATGTATTTTGTGAAAAAAAATATATATATTGTATATTTTTATTTAATGCCTTTTTAGTTATTTATTTTTCCACAAAATTTGTATACATTTTAAAATAAAAATGAAAATATTGTCTCATACACATTTTGGGTTTCCATGTTTAATGGGGACTTTCCATAGACATAATGAATTTTATACTGTACAAACTGTGGATTGTATCAAACCCTAAACCTAAACACAACCTTACAGAAAACTAATGCATTTTTATATTTAAATATTATAAATATATTTATATTTATAAGCTGTTTTCCTCATTGGGCCCAAAAATGTCCCAGTGTTTTGGACAGTTTTATTGCTCCCTGTAGAACATTTTATAATGTGTTTTGTGTCAACCATGCGGTTTGCAACTTATATTTACTCCAGGTTTCAAATATATTTTGGCCAGTAATAAAATAGCATTTTCAGTATGAAAGAGTTGCGCTGATAAATTTCTACAAAATTGTTGGTTCAGGTAATATGAGCCATTGCTGTGCCCTTAAGCAAGGCAGTTAACACCACTGTGCTGCAGGACAACTACCCCTGTAATTAGTCTTGTGTAGCCTAAGTCACTTTGGATATAAAGATCTGCTAACTAACTGATAACTTGAAAATTACGGTACGTTCCTTTATGCACTTCTTAAAATGTTTACATGACATAAAAATCCACTCATCTAGATTACTGTCTCAAATTATAGGTCTATGGAAAGTGAGGTTACAGTTTCATCATGACCATGTCATATGTAACACTTAGAAAGGAAATAAAGTTCACAATGTATAATTTTGATATTTAAATCCTACTGTTAAGTTCCATACAGTTTATTAACCTTTACTGACACAAAACCGACATGCTGCATAAAATCAAAACATTCATTGTCGTTTCGGTTGTGAAACGAAAACGCAATACGGGGCGCCCTCTACTGGTAAAAAAAAATAATTCGAATTTTTTTTTCTCTGTACATTGACTGTTTACTTGAGGCAACTACGCATGCACTGATTCTCAAGCCTTTCTTGCAAATTCTTTGTATTCTTACTTTTCCTTAACAGTGGTATTCTTTCATGTAACAACATATGGACATTCTTTAAGATTCAGTGACCAATATAAGACAAAATGTGAAGATGGCCTACATTTTCTCTTCTTTGGTCTACAGCTTTTTAAAATGTTTGTATTTTTAAAAAAGGGAACTGTATATAGTCTATATTCTATATTGTTTCATAATATAGCTGTATTTGTATATACATGTGTATATACACACACATATAGCCTAGCCTACATGGGTACGTTGGAGAAAGGGAGTATGTTGGGGGAGTAGTTTGGGTATGCGCTTCCTGGCAGTAACTACTTGGAGTTGTAAACTTCAGAAGGGGGTATTGTCTCTCGGTGTGTGTGTGTGTGTGTGTTGTAAAGGGAGGTTAGTAATCTAGTTTTGGAGGAAGAAGGGTTATGGGGAATGCCACTCTTATCTGCTATTGCAACAGTCAACAAAGCCCCACACTGATAACACTTCCTGTTACACTGAACCAATATTATACAAACGCACTTGGCACAAACAATCACACTCTCACTTTGAACTCAGCTCTGGGCCAAAAAAACCCCAACTAATTTCTATTCAGTTTAAGAATCTTAACTACTTTTCAAATATCCAGATTATAATCTAATAATCTAATACATTTATAAATAGAATTAGAAACATTGACATGATAACTTTCTCTGGGAAAAAAAGTAAATTTACCACATTAGTTCAAATAGGCCTGCTTTCATTCAATTGTATTCGTTCATCATTTTCTGAAGTACCCAAACACCTTTTTTTTTTTTTTTTACAGTGTTGTTCAGGGGTGCACATCAGTATTTTCATCAGAATTTTAAAAGACACAAAAGTTTCTCACTGCCCTTCCAGACTATTTTATGTGTGTCTATCTGCTGATTGACACATCATGTGCTCTTGTTCCTGAAAGATGGACTCGACCTCTGCCTGCTGGGACAGGGGTGTTTTTAAGGTCAGTGTGTGTATGTGTGTGAAAAGATCAAGCAACACATTCCATATAAAAAGTCTTCCTCTAACATGTCTCTACCTTTTTATACGCTACTTTTTGCTTTGTCTGTGATTATATAGAAAATTTAATAAAATTAAATAAAAAAAAAAATGAAACACTAATTTTTTTTAATTACACTTTAAGGAATCTAAATTTCCTCCTCAGGATTGTGTGTGTCGGTACAACGGGTGGAGTCAGAAACGCGTCTCTAAGCAGAGGGATTATTTGAGGAGGCAAGTTAATCCAAGTAATGACATCTAATCCCCAATAAAGCAAACGTTACGACACACACACAGTCACAGACATACACCCACCCAGACCATGCTGCGTCTGTGATTTCATTACGAGTCAACGAGCAAACTGACCCCAACATCTTCGCCAAGCCTGTGTTTTCATGCATGCGCTCTGGTCTATAGGTATCAGTCTCCATAGATGCCAGGTGGCTCCGAATAAGAATGCTACTTCATTTGCATATTTAAACTGAGGGAATAAGTGGCAGGGGGCAATGTGAATCACCAGAGAGAATTAAAAGACATACACACAGAATCCAAGGCACTGGTGAGGAACATTTTTGCAAACGCTATAAAGCAATAAATAAGGGTATCTGCTGCACACCGATCACAATACATGCACACACACTCGCATGGGGTCAAATAAAGCTGGTCTTTGGACTGAAGTACTGGGCTGTCCACCTCGTCCATTAGTTACATGCTGGGTTCTAATCCTAATTGACATGAAAAAAAGCTCAGAGGATGTGTAGTCACACACACACACAGTTGGCACAAATGGATTTTTAATAAGGATGGGCAGCATCCATGACAGCTGCACTATATCAGACCAACATAAAAAGCACACTATAACTCCATGACAGGCCCAGTATACCAAAGAGGAATTGAGATAAATGGTCACACTCATGAGAGAGGTCAAAGAGTGGACACACATATGGCTCACACACTCGGTTTGCACACATATGCTCTTCATTATGGACACAAACACACACTTACACTCCAAGAGGTCAACTAAGGCACACTCACACACTTATTATCTCTAAATCTCTCTACACACTTTATTAGGTGACTTTTTAGTCACTATTAGTTTTTAATCATACTTTGAAATAGCTTTATTTTAAATTTTACAGTTTAAAACAGTCCTAATAGTAAATTGATGTGTGTAGCTTTTCATTTCTTAACACTAAAACCGTATTCTGGACAAATGTGGGCAAAATTTGTTTTTATTTTTAAAAAATACTTCCCTTAATCTGAGCGGTACATGACTTGGCTACTTTTCCTAAGTTTTCCTCCTGAACACACACAATTTTGACTCAATTCTACAATGGGTGAAAAAAACTCCTTAATCTTGTATTTGGTCAAAAATGGGCACCCATAGAAATGAATGGGAAAACTGTAATATAGAGCATTCTAAAATAAGCCAAAATAAGACACCAGGTGACAGCAAAGTCACTCGATCTTTAGATTTTAGCTCTAAGAACTTATTGGAATGATATTTTAATGTAGTTAAAAATTAAAAATAAAACATAAAAATAAGCATAATTTACATATAAAATATTGTACTTTTTGAAGTAAATAAATTCAAAAATACCCCCAAAATAAAAAAACCCCACCATAAATGGATAAGCAAAACAGTGATATAACATTTATAATAAATAAAAAAGAGCCCTCTGTGCCCACATTTGTCCACAATTACAGGATTAAGGGCTAAAGTGAATACGGTTTGAGGGCAACACCGCCATAGGAAGACACATCATGTCCATATTCCAGGATGACAATGTGTAAGATTCATCAAGCTTAAATTTTAAAAGAATGGTTGTGAGGGAGCATGAAGATTCAGTTTCGGGTCCAGACCTGAAATGTTGTATTTTGTAAGTATTTTGGGAGACTTTACTCTTGCGTTGTCAAAAGATCTTGATCAAAATGGATGCACCTCTTGATGGAAATAACCTCACAACATTTATTTCCATCAAGAGGTGTATACATTTTTGGTCAAGATCTTATATTGACAATGCAATCTGTAAAATCTACTCCAGTATTGTATTTTCCAGTTACTTTTCATTTACTTTTTCATGTTGATCAAGTTTTTCAACTACTATTTATATTTTATTGAAATAACAAAACCCTGCTTAAATCACATTAATGCTCCCACAAACGATCTGATATTTACTGTCATTTGTTTGCTTGATGGAGCTGCTATGTAATTTGCATATTTTACTAGTTTTACGCATTGTCTTGCACAGCCAAGCCATTCGCGACTCCGGCTCATTATAACGTACATGCGCACAGAGACACATGGGGTGTCTGTAAATCTAATAACATTACCATACTGGATCCATAACACTAGGGTATCTGTCCAGTTTAGTATCATGACTGAACAATAGCATGCACACAAAGAAAAGCCATTCTGAGGTAAAACTCCCTCTTTCTGTCCATTAGAAAGTGACTCTTCCATTATTCAGTCAGTTTTAGGGTAAATAGTCTTGTCTCCAACAAAAAATGTCCACATTTGTACTTGAGCTCAAGGGAGCATAATATACATCACTCAATGAGATGTTTACATGCAAATGGCACATGGGTGTTCCTGAATTAACACTGGCTCCATTTAAATCCTAGCTTAACCCCAAATGTAAACTATATTTATCTTTTGTGATGAATTCTAGGTCTAATGCTCTGCCGCTATGAGTTGTCTTTTCGCTCTATTCTTTGGTTATTTTCGTAGTGATTTGCTAGCATTTTATGCCTGTGAAAGTCAAGCCGATGAGTATTAGATGCCATGTAAATCTATACTGTTGATGAAGAAGGTGAACATTATCTTTAACAGACTTTGGCCAGTGTGTAAGTATGTGTCAGGCTGGCTCTCCTGTTGTGAGGTTTTGTTCTAGGTAGTGAAGTACAATAGTAGCTCATTAGTAAAGAGAGAGCTCATAGATCCAACAGCTACACTATAATCAGCACTTCAC